GCATGCGCCACCATGCCCGGCTAATTTTTTCTATATATTTTTAGCTGTCCAATTAATTTCTTTCTATTTTTGGTAGAGATGAGGTCTCGCTCTTGCTCAGGCTGGTCTTGAACTCTTGAGCTCAAACAATCCGCCCGCCTCGGCCTCCCAGAGTGCTAGGATTACAGGCATGAGCCACCGCGCCCAGCCTATTCACTAATTCTTTAAGCTGGAGTGCAGTGGCATCATCATTGGTTGCTCATTGCAACCCTAAACTCCTGGGCTCAAGTGATCCTTCTGCCTCAGCCTCTTGAGTAGCTGGGACTACAGGTACATGCTACCATGCCCTAATTTTTGAACTTTTTGTAGAGACAGGGGTCTGGCTATATTGCTCAGGCTGGTCTCAAACTCCTGGGCACAAGCAGTCCTCCTGCCTCGGCCTCCCAAAGTGCTGAGATTACAGGCGTGAGCCACTGCTCTTGGCCTCCACTCACTAATTCTTATTTTATGATGTGTCTAGCCTGCTGTCAAACCTAGTGTAGGGGGTTTGAGGAATTTCAGGGCTGATCAAGGAAAAAGATACGACCATGAGGTGATGATAGCACACACAAACCTTATTGGGATAATGAGGAAGTTCCTCATAGTATGCACCTGTCCAGAGGCAATGGCACAGGAGGGGAGGAGGGCAGGGTAACTCCCAGGAGTGAGAGGAATCAGACTGGAAACACACATGTCTAGACAATGTCTCTCAGCAGCATGAGTGGGCAGGACAGTCTCTAGGTCAGAGAGCTCTGGAGGGCAGTAGCTACTTGGGATCTTTCTATCCCCAGGGTTTACCTTATCTATGACTAGCAGATGTTGGGCACAGTTTTGTTAGATATGCAAATCAGCAGACTCTTAAAGCCTAAAAATCTGCTCATTTGGCCTACATTTAAAAAATTAAATGTGTAAAAATTTGAGTTTGGTTCCAGAAGGCTTCTGAACTAACAGGTTATAGCCTGCTATGAAGAAACAAATAATCTAGAGGCCAATATACAGAGACAATCTTTGGCTCATTTATAGACTACTTGGCCATTCAGTTATTAAGTTCATTAGTAGAATTTTATATTTCTAAAAGTTCTTACTTTTTAAAAACTCTTTACTTTTTACAGTTTCCTGTCTGTATGTTTGCCTTTTATTTTTTTAAACATTCTTAAACATTCCTTAAAATTGTTGTTTTGTGATCTGAGTTTGATAATTTGAATTTCTGAAGTTTTTATGGGTTTGATTCTGTTTTCTCTTGTTTCTCCTGGTTTGCCTTCCTGGAGTCTGGTTTCTTTGTATGTCAGGTTATCTTTGTATGTTGGACACAGTATTTGAAAAATTACTTATAGGAATAATTTAAACCCTGTAACAAAGGCGCTTTCCTCCCTAAATGATATATATTTGCTCTGCCCACTACTGAGGAGAACCATCAGGTTGAGACCACCTTTAAACCAAATTCAAGACTTGAGAGTCCCTGAATTGCCCATAGGATTCTAACCGAGCTGTAATTCTGCACAAGGAGTATACTAGTTCCATTCCATCCTTCCCTTGACAGTGTAGGTAGCTCTTTGGAGTCCTAGCTGATTGTGAAAAGGGTCTCCTTTTAGACTTCTCACCTTGTGGTGCTGGGCTTTGTTTTTTGTCCTTGTTGCCTGGCAAGACTATCAACTAAAAGTTCTAATTTTCCAAAATCAGTAAAGCCTCCAGAGCAAAAATGGTTTCTGTGCTTTCTTACTTCTCTGAGTACAGCTTTTCCCCTTCATTTTTTACATGGTAACTCTTTCTTGTCATCTCTTTGATATTCTTAAGAAAATATTTTAATAATTTATCTGTTTTTTTTAAATTATTTTCAGTGGAAGTACTGATTTGAATAATCTAGTGTAGTCATTATCATAATGTGATCTGCAACCGCTGGGGTCCCTGAGACCTTTTCAGGCAGGACCAGGACTAGGATGAGGCAAGCAAGCTGCCTAGGCACAAAGTTTAAGCATTAGCACTTGCACCACTTGCACAAACGCCTCCTTAAGTTTTGTGCCCTGAGCACCTCACTTGTCTCACCCACCCTTAGTCCTATGGCTGGCCTTGCCTAAGATCAAAACTATCCTCATAGTACTAAAAGGTTTTTACCTTTTCACTTTCATTTTCTCAAGTGTGCAGTGAAGTTTTCCAGGGACTACATGATTTCAAAGTAGATCGAATATGTACTGGGGGAGGAAAAAAATCCCAAAACAACAACTGTGGGCAAGAGAATAGATTAATAAAAGGATTCTGAGCAGATGTGCGCTCCCACCAGTGAGATCAGGCAGAACAAGGTTGTAGTGGTTAGTGAGAAGAATCAAGAATATAATGACTTTATCCAGAAAAACTTAGCTACCCACTGATAGAGTTAGAAAAAGAATGAGAGGAACTCAAAATTATGGTTGGAAATGTAGGAATAGCAGAAACCTGAGGAAGGGGTAAGTGATGTCTAGGATGTTAGTGGAAATGGCTGATCATTTCTTCTAAGGAGGGTTAAGGGGGCAAGAGATACAGAAGAGATATGATAGATCTAATAAACAATAAAACAAGATAGGAGGTACTTGAATTGCATTATGTAAATAAAGGGCAATTCAGTAGGAAGGAGGAACTATGAGAATTCGTTGTATAAGTGGAATGGTCAGATTAAAGAATCAATCTTAGTTGTTAAAGGCTTAGCTCCTTTATCACCCTTGGCACTGAAAGAAAAGGCTAACTCTAGAAGTCTTCAGATTTGAGTGCACCAGTTTTCAAACTTGCTGCTTAATATGAGGTTCAAGTCACTTAACATTTATAAGCATCATTGTTCTCATCTATAAAATGTAGGTAATAATGATTACATTGACTTACTATCATGAGGACCAAATGAATAGCATGTTAATTTTTTGTAAATTATAAAGCATTATATAAATATGTGGTATAAGAACTATACACTTGTCATTTTCATAAGCTTTTCTTTTTAAATTTCAGGCAGAACTCAAAAGCTTGATGGACAATGCTTCTTCGTCCTTTGAATTTGCTAAAGAACTCATCAGGCACAATCTGGTGAATAATGGTTTCCCGTCTTGACTGCCTTCAGTCCTCCTATACTTTGGTACATCACAGCAATTAGAAAGATGAATTAATGAGATGCTCCAGCAAATAATGCTCCCCTCCAAGGGAACCCCTCCTTGCTGTGGAGGAAAAGAGTTTAAAATCTTAGTTTCTTTCCTCAAGGAAATCCTGATTGGGAGGGCAGGAATATATATAACATTTGGAAAGAAGTACAAGGCAGTGTAGATCCAATTGTTTGGTTTCTGGCAAAGAAAAGTAACATCACTGTGGTTCAAATAAATGGGAAAGATTTTCAGGTCTTTTAAGGATAGCTGACATTTGAGTGTTCATTCTAATCAAGGACATGGAGCTAGGACGAGGATGACATATAAAAGATTGTGAGCAGATTGATCTTACTGGAAAAGTAAGTTTGCACTGGGGAATAGTGGACACTGAAGTTGAATAGGGGTGGTTAGGTTTATGGCTAGATTATGTTGGCCATTGCCAAAAAAATCGAAGCTCAGATTAAGTTTTATTTTATCGACCATGTAATATAGTGAGATTCAGAGAAGCTGCTTTCAATTCAGACATGTGGGGACATAGGGAAATTTATCTAATATCACTGAGTCTCAGATTCCCTATCTAAAAATGGTGATGATGATAATTACACCTTTCTCCTCTGATTTCTCTATTCCTTTCATTAGCACCAGTTCTCCAAATACCCTTGCTGAAAAACACTGCTGTTTTAGACTCCACTTCCCTTTATTTCTGTTACCTACTCAGTCACTAAATCCTAGTAATTCTTTTTTGGCAATGTCTTATATTTATTCCATTTCGTCTCTAATTCAGGCCTTCATCACAGATATTGTTTTATTTGGATAGTTTCTATTATGGGCTCCTGCATCTAATCTTTTCACTTCTAATCTGGTTTATAAATTGAAGCCAGATTAATTTTTTTGGAGAATGATACATTAGAGATAGTGGTCTGGAATTTAAGCCTGGAGACAGATCAAGACTTTAGGAATTATCATAAGAGTATGACAATTAAATATGGAAGATTCTCAATTGCTAAAGTCCTGACAATTAAATTTAGAATAAAGAATTAAAAGCAGGAAACTATGGTTCCAAAAGAGCATCTGTATTTATAGGGCTGAAGGAAGGAGAATCAGCAAATGAGACAAGAAAGGGAAGACAAGAAGCAGCACCTAGATAATGTAATGTCATTTACAGCTGCACATTGTAATCACCTGGGAGGCTTTTGAAACTAATGATGCATGGGCTCCATCCCCAGGGATTCAGTCTGTCTGTCTTCCTTCCTTCCTTCCTTTCCTTTTCTCTTCCTTTTCTTTCTTTCTTTCTTTTTTTTTTTTTTTTTTTTGCCACAGGAAAATTCAGAAGAGACAGGGATTCTTATTTAATGATTGGTCTGGAGCCCAGCTATCAGTATTTTTCTTAAAAGCTTCCCAGGTAGATATGTACAGCCAAGGTAAAGAACTAGTCACTGTATGTATATATGACTGGAAGGAACATGTCAAATAGTAAATAGGGTTTATTCTTGGTGAGTGGGATTAGAGAAAAAGAATATGGAAATTTTCCTTTTATAATAAATT